AAACGACTGACTCTATTGTCTGTATTTGTTGGACATTTTGCCACCATTTGATTGATTTGTTAAACAATTTATTACAGAAATATATTCAATAGAAAACTAGTCACACGATGAACGAGTCGTCTATTTTCATATCAATTATTAACATTCCATTAGACATTAAACTAACAGACATTTTATCGGTTCGACTATTAATTTGCGGTAATTGTGGCCACACTTTAGCCTAAGATCTGGCAATATATGGCTAAACCATATGATTGTATTATTACTCAATTCCATCAATAATAATAAAAATGGGGAAACTTTTGAACATTTCTATTAAATTTTACGGTATATTGTATTTTATTAATTATTTTTTATACAAAAAGCAAATGTTTTAATGGATAATAGATTAGTGACTAAATTTGTCAGATATTTGAATTTCATTATTCACTTAATTCTACACAAGACTACAACATTCGGTTACATCCGTAAAGTCTTGGAGGACTTAATTTTGGACATAACGTCCCACAAATCAGTTCTTCTCAATTGAAACAATAGTTTGGTTTCAATCTCTTGGACGGCGTCTAACGTGAGGACAAGGGTCTCGTGTTTTAACATTGAGAACACATTGAGTCCATAGACGGGCATTAGATTGATGTGTTGTATTGGATGGGTTGCGAGCGATATATTTCGGGGGAATAAGTCTGAAGTGTCGACAAACAGGACACTCGGTCCCCAACCCCTCGCAGAGCACAGCTCCTCCATATACTCACTGTTGTCGGTGGGGATGGAGTCGAGAGTGTCGACCACTTTGAGGTCGTCCTGAGCCAACTTTGCCGACAGCATCGAAATGAGTCCTTTGACTCGTTTAGGGAACGGCAGTATATAGAAGTAGGTTCGGGGCCCTCGGGGACCTACAACCCAACCCCCGTTCTTCCATTGGGGCGCCCGAACACCTTTGGCGCGCGCCCTACCCGTGCCCTTCTGTGGCCACGGCTTGCGTGTAGTGCCGGGTAACTCATTACGGGTGGGCAACCACTTCCAGTCAATGTGTTTGTATAGTGTCTGCCATTTGTGGTTCTCTTGGATTAGGTCCACACGAGGGAAGGCGCCGAAGACTGACGGGTGAAGCGGTACTATCGATAGCTTCTGGGATTCCGGTGAAGACATGCTCTCCACCCATACCTCACGAATTGGTGTCACCTTTGGGTTCACGTTTCCCATGTCTTGCAACTCACGAGTGATCGATAGTGAAAGTGATGGATGGGATCCGACACTCGCCACCGGTTCTCCGTTTTCTTTGAGCCCTTCTGTCGGACTCACTGTCGAGTAATTTCGACATAATTTCGATGATATTCTGATGGTTTTAATGTCATTAATAGTGATTTGATTTAATAATTTGAAACAATTTGTTGAAAGAAGTCTTAAATTAGACATCACTTCAAGAGTTGATTCACACGAATGGATGTAAACAATACGGCATTGCTTTGAAATTTTTAGACAAACATTATGTGCCCTTTGAATACATTGCGTGCGTTCATAAATAATAGGAATTATAGTATTAAATAGGCATAAAAGATATAGAATATTACATGCATGCTATGATATGATACAGTAATTGTAAAATCTTTTAAAGTTACTTAATTTAGTTTAAATTAAATTTAATTAAATTAAATTTAAAGTTTAAATTTTAAACCATTGAAATGAACTGATTTTTGTGGTATTAATTATAAATATTTTATTCATATTTAATACTACTGTCAAAATGTAAATACCGGTAAAATAAAAGTTATGTTTATTTGATTTATGAAAATGAATCAAATTATAAAAATGGTTTCAATTTATTAATGAAAATCAGTTTCAATTGCAATCAAATGAGTGGATCAGTCGTCATCGGAATCGTCGGCTTTTTGTGTGGCCTCGAGGTCTTGAGTAGCGGCCACTAAATCAGTTGCCGACGTCTCTCGAAGTCTTTCTCCTGAATGCAATCAAATTAGTCACAAATCGTATCACAAAATCAATTCAGAATTCACTAACGGATCAGTTCAGCGATGGCTTTCTGTGTCCTATTCTCGAGTTTATCCAATTTTTTCTGTAAATTCCTCTTCAGATCCCAATCGACTTTACGCGGCGCTAAACTCGTTAAGTCCTGTCGTTTGCAAACACTTCTCATTTAATAATACATTTCAATCAATCAAATCATCCAAACACTGACCACTTCATCGATCACCGGCTCTTCTTTAGTCAATTCCAACAATTGGTCTTTGATTTGCTCCTCAACTGAAACATACAGACAATTAATTCAATGAACACAAGATTGTCATTCAAATGCCATTTAAGACCTGATTCGGGCTTTGCTTTCGGCAAAGACCTCTCCTTTAATGTCTCGTCATTTGGATTATATGAACGAAAATGTGGTCTAAAAAGAGATCATTGAAGAGATGATGAGATAATTGAGTGAATCATCAAATGAATACAAATGAGTGAATACTTCGGCAAAACTTGTTTGTCATCTGAATTTTGGTGATTATTATCCGTGTTTTCTTTGGTGGTCTTACTCTTGAGGCGCTCTAACCGCTCCTTCCGTCTGCGCGCCTCTTCCTCCATGTGTCCAACATTTGAATCTTCAGATTTCATGGCAAACCAGATGTCAAACCAAATGAAAGACAATATTGAATACGAAGTGACAGTGAAATGACTGCAACAGTGAGTGAATGTGTGTTCACGTGACCCACAGTCACATGACTTACACATTGCTCGGATGGCCAATGAATGAGTCCATCGATGGCTATCACCGATAATATCAAGACTTATGCAGTGATTCCGTCAGCCGGAAGGGGTCTTCGGTTGGCTGAAGACAACTCACTTCCCAAGCAATACAGTATTATTTGCGACAAACCATTGGTTTATCACACAATCAACTCGTTTCTCAGGTATTCATTGTTTTGGTATCACTTCTTGAGTATTGGTTGCCATGTCTTCAGAATCAAATGGATCGACAAATTGATTGTTGTCTTCGACGAGGAGAACGCCAAACTCATGGAAGAGATCGTGGCATCCATTAGCCATCAAAACCGAATCCATTTAGTGATGGGAAGTGAGACAAGACATGGATCTATAGCTAAAGGCATTGATCTGATGGCAGCCAATGAGTGGTCGGTTCCCGACGTAGTGGTGGTCCACGACGGCGCCCGACCTCATGTGGACGAACCACTTCTCTCACAACTGGTCTCTTATGCTCTCGAATATGGAGTAAATATTTGTTGTCAAAACTTAATGATTGTCTCACATCTCAATCACTACTAAACTATTTAAAGCGCTATTCCTCTGCCATAAGTGTCTATTTGTTGAGATAATGACAATCTCTATACCGATAACTAACTATTAATTATGTGTTTTAACATTTGTCTCATAACCTAACCCTCCCCACCAAACAAGGCTTCGGGTGTGATCTGTAAACTCACGTCTACTGTCTTATCCGTATCTAATGACCACTTCTTGGATAAGGCTTTGGATAGAACTAAACACTTCGCGAGTGAAACGCCTCAAGCGTTTAGATATCAATATATAAGAGACGCGTATAATAAGGTTTATTACACTTACGAGTGGACATCCATTTGATAACATTTTGTTTGGGTAGTGCTCTCAGGATGACTATGAGTTCAACACTGAATGCTTGGATTTGGTTCAGAGGTATACCTCATCTAAAGTGAAATTAATTGAAGCCAACGCTTCCACGTATTTCAAAGTGAGTGAGAAATTTTATTTTTAAAGTTTCCTATAGTTTTCAATACTTATTCCCATATTTAGGTGACTTATAAGAAAGATATCTACTCTGCGGAAGGAGTGCTCAGAGGTTTCACTATTGACGTCAATTTAATTTAGTTATTGTATTAACTTTGAATCTGAATTAAATGGCAGATCAAAAGGATATTTTACTTCAGTGTGACTTTCAATGTGAATCTCAAGTTAATTATGGATTCATTAATGATCTGAGAGAGACCTTAGAGAAGACTTTTACAAATGTATTATTATTTCATACAATAGTTTGCAATATATTAGCGGTAATAAGTTTATGTCATATTCAGGTGGCATTCTTTAATAACTCCTCTTCAGTGAAGTTGGCGTATAATCCGTTGATTATAAGAATATTATTAAAATTTTGCAATTCTTGGAAAGAGATCACTGAGAAATGCATTACAAAATGCGATTCTTTAATATATGTGATCATAACTTGCGATCAAATACTCGCATCTTATAATGAAATGAATCGGTGGGCAAAGTCTAAGACCGCAGACATCAAAAAGTTTTTTGTTATACAATCGGATCTTAAAGTTAGTATTGATTACATATTGATAACAATAAATAAACCAGGTGAATACATTTATAGGAACTCAATGGGCAAAGTCTAAGACCGCAGACATCAAAAAGTTTTTTGTTATACAATCGGATCTTAAAGTTAGTATTGATTACATATTGGTAACAATAAATAAACCACCATGGTGAATACATTTATAGGAACTCAACCAAAACAGAGACCGAATAATCCAAACAGTTTTATTCCTATCGAAACAAACTCCCAGTGAATTGAATGGACAGATATTCTTCATTTAAAGCCTTTCTATAAATGAAAGAATTCTCATATCATGTCATAAGGAATGTTATATTTTGTAGTCATTATGAAGTTAATTATGAATTCTTTGTTACGGGTTTTTATAGAATTTTTAAAATTTTGTACTTTTTAAAACTATTTGTTAAATTGTGATATGTATTGATAATACCAGTAATGTTAAGGCCTGAGACCAGTGGTTACACATACCGTAAGAGACAGTAATTTCAAGTGGACTCGCATATCAAAATCTACAATTTGTAAGAATCATACTGTATATCACAATATTTGTAACATAATTTATTTATGTATCGGACTGACATGTTACCTTGCTTAATTTCTATTAAACTTAATTTATTAATATTAAATTAAAGTTAAATTATGAATATAAATGGTATGTTGTATTGAGTCTGTACTGCATTTGACGTGTTTTATGAATGCATTCACTTTTAAATGCATTACAAATACAAAACAAATACCGATTTAAAGAGACAATTGTTTTCATAGTGACCACCGATTATAATCAACTGAATCGTCATTCAATTGGTTGCCATCGCCGGTGAAGATGTCGGCCAACGAGATATCAGTGGCCTATCTGTTGATCAGTGAGCACTTCGGCTCAATCGTGGCGTCTGTGGCGCAGGTGTTGCTCCACAACGGGTCGACACCACTGCCACTGATTGTCCAGTCGTGCAAAGAGTCCAAACACAACACGAAGAAGTCGTTAATGATATTAATTCAACACAATTTCGTGACCTTCTCGACCAACCCGAAGGGGTTCGTGGAGTACGACATGGATGTGGAGGAAGTGTTATGTCTGTTACGTTATCCCAAATATATTTATGTCTCGAAAATGCTTTTGGGAGACGAGTCGGAGTACATGTGCGAAGAACTGCTCAGACATGGGGTCATGACTATGAGTCAGACCATACAGCAAGTGGTCAATCGGTTGGCGCTGGCGTTGGGCCACAAGAACTGCGACCATTTGGTCCAAAGCGTTCATCAGGTGTTCACCAAATTAGTGTCCATGCATTTCATCCAAAGAGTCCACACTCTCAGTGATAATCAAACCACTGATTATACTGTCATTAAGTCTTCCCTGCTATGCCTGCTTCTGCACCTAGAGTACATAAGTAACGGACTGTAATTAGACTCAGAGTAATTTCACTTCTGTTCACTCCTCAGCTCACTACAACACCACTTTCTCCTTCTTGGCCACTTTTTCAGGCGCAAAATGAGTTGCGATTCAAAAGATGTCAAACAAAAGGATTTAAATATTTATTGGAAAATGAATTTAAAGCGATTTAATCAGTACTTAAGAGATCAGACAATTGTCGAGACGATTACCACTCATTATGACGACCCGACCGCCGGAGAGATCGTCAGAATTATCCTCAGACTGTCTGAAGTGAATACACATTCAATGCAATCGACGACATGTCCGCTCTCTAAGCAAGACATCACTCGGGAAGCGCTCAAACAAAAAGTCTGTTCCGATGGCTCACAAGTGGAGCAGTATTTGCGGTGCTTTCAGGAGGACATGAACTTCAGGTTTGTGGTGAAGAGTGAAGACCGAAACGATGGCATGTATTCGGTGGACATAATGAGGACATTAAACAAATTGGTTGAGAACTGCTTGTCGTCTATCGTTCAGAACCGCTATTGCAGTAAAAGTTCGCGAATTTTTCGGCTATTAATCGATAAGAAGTATTTACAGCAGAAACAGATCGAAGACTTGGCAATGATTCCATCAAAAGAGGCCAAACAACTCACTTATAATCTCTATACAAACGGTTTGCTTAAAGTCCTTCAGTGCCCCAAGACGTCAGACTACGCGCCCTCCAGGACTTACTTCTTGTTTTCGGTGGACACCACTCACGT